GGCGGCGGCGGGGGCGGGGGCCCGCGGGCGCGCTAGTCCGCATGCTGACCGGTGAGGAGGCCCCGGGGGGCCCCAGGGCCAGCAGCCTGCAGCGCCCTGCACCGCGCGCCTGTGGACACCAAAGGAGAACGCTCATGAGTACAAGCGGAAATACATGAACACTTATGGACAGGCTGCTTGGAAGAGAGAATAATGAAAATAATGCAGCTAGACCCGGGTAATAATGCGGTTCAAAAAAGAACGCAGGATTGTGAGGTCAAGTTTTACGTATTAATTTTTTAGTCGTCCCCGAACGAGAAGGTATGCTTACTTAGGCTGGTTAGGCCCTACGCGCTTTGGCCGTAGCACTACGCCACAGTAGGGTGTTCCAACGGAAATAGGAAAAGCAGAACTAATTTACTTGATGTTTCTGCAACGAAATGGCTTTGGTTGGTCGGTCGAGCTGATCTCGTGCCTCTACGGCCTTTCAGGTATGAGAAACTTTCAGATGAGTTTCGGTCTCCCCTCTATGTTTGAGAGGTTAACATAGATTCTAATTAGAATCTAGTGAAACTATCAGTGAGTTTTATTTCGTTTTCACTTCCGTTTTAGATAGCCTGGTCTATCTCTACCGAATAACGCTTTGCAGAAGACGGGGCGGGGCGGAGGTCAATGCCATCTCATCAGCCCCCGCCGCGTCCCCCGCTCTTCGCTTTTCCACTTTTCCGCCCCCCCTTCCACTGAGTGAAACTCCACGCCAAAGCCCTCCTCCTCTCTCATCCTTTTCTCTCTTAATGTTCGACACGCCACTGGCTGCAGCTGTTTATTCACCGGGCTGGCCTATAAAGTCCTGCAAACAGAGTGGGGCGCTCCCCTCCCGGAGGGGACGGGGGAGAGGGAGGGGGGGGGGGAGCCCTGCGGTTGCAGTGATTTCTCAAGGGCGCTTCGTAGCCTCGGGCGTCTAGTCGAGTCGCGACAAAAGACCCCCCCCCCTTTTCATCCCCTTTCCTCTACGAGCCCAAAAATGTTTCGACGAGCGAATGCGAGCGAGCAGACTTCTTGGCACAGCGCGGTGGCAAAACGGGTGCGTGCCCCCTCCCCCTCTACCCACTACTCCTGGAGCAGCAACACTGTTGGATTCCTGCAATGCATTACTTTGTAGGAATTTAACAGCAAAGGCCCCCTGCATGCTAGAGAAATGGAGAGGAAGGCCATTTAAGGGGAGGCGACACTGAAATTGCCTTCAAGATGAATTAAAAATCAGACATTATCATGAAGAATGCTCTGTATGACACGAAACCCCGCTAAAAATCGTCGTCTTAGTCTTGAACTCCAACCGTTTTGTCATGCTTCTTTGCTGTCTTACTAAAACTGCTCCTTTCGCATTCACTTTTGTCGTAAAACTTAAGTAAGGTTTCTTTGAAGTCAGAAAAGTCCTAGGAACAATAGAGCATTTCAGTTTCGGTGACAAGAAGAAGAAAAGATTAAATGAAACAGGAAACAGTTGGGCGAGGGGCGAAAAGGGGGGGGGGATTAGAAGGCAGTGCTTTTCCGGTTTGTTATTATTTTCTTCTTCTTATCACCTAGCCTGAAATGGTCTTTTGCTACTATCTTCAATTTATGGTTAAAGACTTTTCTTTTGGGGTCTTCCTACACTTCTCAAAAGTTAGACAATACCCAGAGTTATGACTTTAACTTTTTACAGACAAAAAATGAAAGGAATATGTAATTATGATCATAAAATTTGTAGAGTACATTTCAAAGTATTTCTCCAAAAACTCTCAACAACGTGGCTAAAACTTAAATGCGCAAGAGATTTTTGGAACACTGAAAAATACAGCGAAAAACTGAAAATTCCCCATGGACCGAATTCTGACCCAAAACGACCATATTTTCAGTGTAGCGTCCTCTTTATAGTACGGCGGGGCGTCAAGGGGAAAACTGACACTAGAAAGTGTTGGCTTCGAGGTGTAAACTTTTCGTGTTGTTCGTGTTTTCTTGACAGTGGCGTGAAGAAGGTTGTGGAATGAAAAGAGGGGAGGTGAGGGGCGGCAGGGAGGCAATGCTTTGGAGTCTTTCCCCGATTACGATAAGAGCAACCAGCAAGGACACTTTCCTCCCCCGTCTCCCCTCCTCGCCCCGAGAGATACGTTTGTTTGAACACCTCCACGCTTGACTCGGGTCTGGAAAATAATTACAATAAATAAATAGAGGAGGTACTCGAAGCAGAGATTGCCCCCTCTCTGAGGTAACCAAAGTGACAACTCATGACCAACGAGTGTCCTAGAGGGCGAGCCGAGGCCTGGCTGGAATTCCCCTGTTCTACAAAACGGGGAGGGAGAGAGAAGGGGGGGGTGGTAGGGGTTCTCCATGGACCGTGTTGAAAGCTACAGGGGGTTGGGGTAGG